AAACGAATTTAGGAACTATTCCATCGAGCTTCCCTTGCAGTTTCCTTATATATTCCTCGTTGTCATTAGAAAACTCATGCGTCATCATACACGTTACTTTCATATCACATGGGACTTTCCTACGCAAATGGGAAATTAAGCCACCTTTTGTGTAACCTTCATTACATTTTGGACAAACAAACTTACCACTCATTATATATTTAAGGGCATTTTATGCTCAATTAAAGGTACATTTTAACAGACACAGCAGCAGTAAGGGAATTATCGCGTGGGTAATACCCGCTGCGGACGCATACATTTAGAGGGGCCTGAAACGCAGGTAATACCCGTGAAATTCGATTCTTAGTAACTTGGATTTCGCGAGTCCCCCTTACTGCTGCTGGATTTCATGAGGCGCTATGCTTTACCAGATACTGTGACAAATCGCCCGATCATCCCAAGACTGGTTAGGGATGATATTGGAGTCACAGCCATCCCAAGTGTACACGCAAAGTCTTTGTCCTCAGCCGCGACTGTGAAAGAAAAGACGGAGGCCCAATCGAGCCGAGATCGAAGAATGGTAAGAACGGATCTAAAATAAAAACATTGTTTTACTTCCTATTCGTTAATAACAAATCTAAATATCTAAATCTATAACTCGGATTATATTCCCCTAGTCTCTTAAGAGCGCAAAGAGCCGAATGGCATCTATACAAGAAGAACAGGAGCCAAAACAAAATGGCGATGCAGAGTGTTGTACTATTGAGGCTGTAGCTGAATCTGGATTTGATGCGGAAATCTCAGGAAATGTAAGAAAAAGAAACAAGGCCTTGAATAATTTTCGTACTAGTATCTTTCATGGATCTATCATATTTATATAAAATCTGTAACATTCTTTTTTCATCAGACACAAGACAGTTTTGCGCAAACTGAGGATCAGACTAAAGATGCATTTCAAAGTTGCACAAGGCTCCAAAGTCGTAATCGACAGCTTCGAAACCAGCTTATAACCGTGAGATCAAAAATTAAAAATATCAAAACGAGCTGAAATCTACTAAAAAAGCTTTAACTAAAATTCAAGAAACAGGTATATCGCTCTATTTGTCTACATTACATAATTTACATCTTCTACAGGATAGCAATATAACGTACTGTAAACAGCCCCTTTTACATGTATTTGCATGTTCTGGTAAGGGGATATAGAGTTATGAGACATGAGTGGTTGGTGAACATGACAATCAGCACTTATATCATTTTAAATGTTATATCTACAGAAATAATATCTGAACCTCAAATTTCCCAAGGGAATGAAAATGATGGTGATGATGATGTTGATGATGAGTCTGATTCTGATGACACCATGGAAGAAGAGCCAGACTTTTCATCAGATGCCAACTATAATACCGAGATGGAATCTGAGACGGACCCTGAAACAGAAAATGAAGATGCCCAGGAAGAAGAGAGCAGGTAACCTAACTTAGGGGAAAATATTCAAGAAGGTATGTAAATAGCAAGTAAAATGAATATGAATATTTATTTATAAACCAATTTATTTTTATCTTTATAGAGTTTTTTCCGATGATGAAAACCTCAGAACACAACCAAAGTTTATTGTGTTTTGGTCACAGCTCCTTCTCCTTTTTCGCTTTTGCCATACTTGTAAAGCAGATGGCCCTCTTATAGAAGCAAAGCAAGTGGGTACTATGGTTGTAGTTACATCAACTTGTGGAAATAAGAACTGCCATTCGAGAGTTGTTGTATGGAAAAGTCAGCCAAATATGACTGGGACAAAAATTCCTGCCGGAAATTTCCTGCTTTCTTTTGCCATTCTTCTCTCTGGGGCTTCGGCATCGAAGACCATTCAGATGTTCAAGCATATGGGGCTATGCTGTTTCTCACTGGCAACTTTCTTCAAACATCAAAATTTGAGTACCAGTATGATATTCAATGTGATCCCTGTACTTCTATTGTGTTAATGATTGCAAGCCATTTATCGTAACTAATTTCCAATGACCTTCATGCACTGGGAAATCAGGAGTAAATAACTATTACTAATGCTTCTTAATAATTGTACTGGAAGTATAATTCTTCATATCTATAAGTACAACACATTGTTCATTGTTTGATGCATTG